ATTAACAGTCCACAAAGGATAGATGATTGAAGAATAGTGCTATAGTTTTCCTCCTCCTATCCATAGGTTAATAAACAAATCATTCCGTTATTTAGCTTTTACTAGTAGAACTCAGGATTTGTCGTTTGAAAATTTTTCACGTTGTGAATTTTGTCTGTTACGTTTTTATCAACTGAAAAATCCTGGCCGGCCAAAATATTTTGACGTACAACCACGATGTAATTCCATTATTTTTCAAGTATTCACCGCATATTCATACTTTACTCGCAATGATACTCGCTGTGTATAAAACATTTTTTCATGGAATTGAATTCAAAATTTTAGTGAAATTTTTGTTTATCATACTTCACATTATTATATAACACATAAGAACCTTTTAACCTAATTTGGAGAATGTATTATACGAACATTTTTATTAAATAAATGTAATATTTATGTATAATTCATTTTAAATTTTAATCATAACTCTTAGGCACTATGAGCTCTCCGTGCAACAATTAATTATGTTAGTGTTCAAACGAAAAGCCTTATGTAATGAGAATTAAATTACCTAAAATTACAACGTAATATTTCATTTGTAATTGCAACTTTATTAACGCTCCGCGGTGATCTTACAAGCAATAAAACTATCTCAGCGAAAATTCAAATGAAAAATTATCATCGAAATAAGCATGTAGCTAGCACTTGTTGCCAAAGAACGCAGCTTCGATCGACCGACATACACAAGACGTGCAGCTTGAGCAATCTATCACTGAACTAACGGTACTTTCTTCGCTTAAGGGTATAGGACAAGCGCAGCTGATTTGGCATGCAAATGTAGCAATATATACAGAGGCGTGGGTCAAGAGCGGTAAACGACACATTGCATAGAAGAGAGGGAAAGAGAGAGGATTTTCGCTAAAAAAGTGTTATTTTGTTCCCTATCTCTTAGTATGCTGATGCATTGCCTCAATCCTGAAAAACTTTTCCAAGAGACTGCGTCCTGCAGAAGCAAAGAAAGAGAGAGAGAGAGAGAGAGAGAGAGAAAACCACATGAGCTCCTGCGGCTACACGTTTTTCCTCTCGCACGAACTCGTGAAAATGAGCAAATGATTTAAAGCTGCATCACGTGAGCTCTTTCTTCGTCGGATGAAACTGACAGTCGCTCGTACAAGAAGAAAAAGGATGAAGCTACTTTAATTTTTTTTTACTTTGCGTTCGTTCTCGCTCTTAATATATATGAAATGGTACATGCTTAAGTGAAATATCATGAATAATTGCAATATCATCACTGGTCAGTAACGTAATTATATACAAAATTTAATATGTATTTCAAACGCGCTTGAGCATGCATTAATTACTTTTACAAATCACATGATTTCAAATTTTATGTGCTATAATTTTAGCTGATTGCTTTGATTCATCATCATTAATATCATTGATTTACATGAATGCATACAGATAGCGGCAAGCTATTAATAATCGTACATTACGAAAGAGAATATTATTTTCACTGGATATTCAAATCATTCATGTGCATAATGTTCGAGCGCTCAATCGTATTACGCGGTCGGATGAGATTGAAAACAGGAAATAATTCCCACAAAATTGTCCTTCGAGACTTGCAAATGAGAGCCTATCGCCATATGGGGAAGCGCGAAAAGTTTAATACTGTTTACCGAGGGGAAATCAGAGATAGCAAGCGCTCGTGAGAGAGAAAAACTCGGCTGGTAAAATGGGCGGCTAAAGTAATTCAAAAAGAATTAAAAGCCTTTTAGCTCGCGAGAGATCGTCGACATAATCTCATCGCAGTAGCCTGGCGTGCCGAAAAGATAAGGCATTAAAAAACATGCCATCTTCACGCACATTTTTCAGGGAGGACCTCGAGGGCAAAAAGTTTTGTGGCAGTGGCTCAACGGCAAAAAAAAGGGAGGAGGTTAGCGCGTCGCGAACGAAAGGCAAAAAAAGTCTGCGCACCGACTATGTTTTTTTTTATTTTTCATTTCTTTTTTTTGTACCTTACTACCACACGCTCGTCCCGCACGTGTCGAGCCGCAGGTGTCCCAGGCAGCCGGATCAAGCTGCTTTTAAAAGCATTTTAGCATTAAAAAAAAAGAATAATCGAGACAAGCTCTACCTACTATGTGTGTGTGTGGCTTTTCTTTGATATTCGCTTGGTTTACGAGGGCTTGTTTCCGAGATACAGGTGGTGAACACAAAACATAAAGAAAAAAAGTCGAGTGTCAGAGTGAGAGGCTATCAAAATTCAAGTAGTTCAACGAAAAGATTATGTGTGCGCGGTATGCGCCGCGGCGTTGTTGAAGTTTCCAAGTTGTCGGAGCACGAATGAAAATGCGCCACGGTGCGCTTCTCTTAGCGACCAAATGTTATAACGAACGCATTAATACTCATGTTATTACGCTATTATATCTGAATAATTAGCTCTCTATGCTCGAAAATGGATTAAAAACATGATGTTGCAGCGAGTGAGTTGTCCTCCGAAGCTAGATTATTTATTGTTTGAGATTCGATTTATTAAACAACACAGCTACATTTCAGAACTCTACCAACTTCTAACAAGATAATAATACAACTTACAATAATGATTATAACCCTAATGTTCACAAGAGCGCATTGCAATAATTTATTTTTTTCGTACTTGAAGAAGTAATTCAAGTAAAAAAAAAGGAAAAAAGCACTGAGGCTAATAATCATCCCGAAAATTCTTGGTATACTTTTTCCGAAAGTAATAATAATTTACTTTTATTATTATAAATAATTAATAATAATAAAAGTTAACAAAGATCTGGGGTCTTTTCGACTGACCTGATTTTGCGACACTATCAGACGATTTTTTATGAATTCCTGATGCTTACAGGCATATCAATTACCAAACTTTTAAACCAAGTTTTAAACTAAGACACTAGATTGATGAAATGAATTTTAATGAATTTTAATGATCTAATTCATAGATATACGTCGAGCAGAAAGATGGATTACATTATTTCGGCATGAAATATTTATTTGCAAGGAAACAAAAGCAATAATTTAATAATTATTAGCTCACTTCTAAGCCCAGCAGGGTATTCAAAAGAACAAGGCTTCTTTGAGCAATTAATAATCAGCAATCGAGCAAAGTGCTCAAGACATTTCGTTATCTTCATAATATCGTGCCCATAATAAAAAGACATTAAAGTCGTTGAAGCGCAAAAGGAAAGTTTCATTAAACGGCAGCGAGAGAGTGAGAACGAGGGCGGAGGGAGAAGTAAAATGAATAAGAAAAGAATCAAGTTTTGTTTTGTTTTCCTTTTTTTAAGTAGTATCGTAAAATCACAAGACTTGCGCGCATTCTCCGCCTCTCTTTCACTCCATTCTCATCGTTACGAGAGTCAAGAGAACCTTAACTTTCAATACGAAGATCTTACGCCGAGGCAGTCAAACGCGCGCGAGCTTTACTTTTTTTCTCTCTGCTTCTTTGGCCTTATAAGACTTGACGGCGACGACAAACGGCTCGTTAATGGCCCCAACGTTGCGAAGAAAGATGCCGAGCATCTCGATTTACACGTTGCCGACATTTACATTAGTTATTATCGTAATTATAGCCGAGCATCTACCTCTTTCGAGACAATAAATCGTGACTACACTTCTGCCGCGCTCTTATCGCTTTGCTCAACGGTATAAAGACCTTCTCTTTTTTTCGCCTGACGTTATACACACTGCTTTCGTCGGCATGCCCGCCTGCGTGGCTGCGATAAGAGTCTTTTTCCGCGACTCAGAAGCAAAAACACAGACAGAGAGAAGAGAGAGATTGAAGCGGGAGTCGCGGCGATAATAATACAGACAAAAAGATTCACCAAACGTCGGAAATTGCCATTGTCAATTTTATTTACTCGATAAAGTCGTTTTGCTTGCTCGTGCGACAGATCGCTGATTAAATTTATGATGTCCGTGAAGACCCGCGATGTCGTTTATTAACGAAAACCAAGAATAACGCGCCGCTGCACGTCAAGCGGTTGGACGTGCACGGTCGCGTTGATTTAATTTGGGAGAGAGGAAAGAAACAATACCTTATAAATTCTCATTTGTTAGTCAATCTACTGTCCAATGAATTGATGAACGCTTGTAAATGGATGACATGCCTGTGTATATGGCGTAGTTTTCCCTGAAACGATTTACAAAGGCTTTTGATTGCCCTCCTGCATTAGTATGCTTTTTCGATCGTTCAAAAATTCGAAAGAAAACATTTTCAATTGTTTTTTTTTTCATAGAAATGCATACCAATACAGATTTCTCTTTTTTATTCATTTGAAAGAATAAGAATGTTCGTTCAAAGGATAAAGCATGCAAATAAATTCTTTCTATAAGCATATACCCTGTTACGACGCGCAATCCAGCCGCACCTGTTATATTTTCCCGTGCAAAAAACCATATGTAAAATTCAAGGAAAATCTTCTGGAACAGGTGTTTTTTCGCAAAATAATAAGCTTATTATTTATTATTTTCCTAAAAATCCATTAAAAAAGCATACATTCCTTTCACAGGTTCTCTGAAAATACGATAACGTGATTTCTTTAATGAGTAGCGGCAGATTTCTTTGAGCAGGGCTCTAAGCACAAAGAAAACAGTGAAACCCAACAAAGATATCCCAAACACAAACTAGCTTTCGAAAAAGAACCATAACAATATTCAGAGCTTAATCGATCAGCGCTGTCAACTAGAGCCATTATCGGAAGAGCGAAGCTCTTCTCTCTCTCTCTCTCTCTCTCTCTCTCTCTCTCTCTCTCTCTCTCTCTCTCTCTCTCTCTCTCTCTCTCTCTCTCTCTCTCTCTCTCTCTCTTTCTCTCTCATTCTCTCTTTGGAGGCGAGTCTCTCGTGTCAGGGTCGCGCGGACAATCCAATCCCAGCAACGCGATGATTCCCTCAATATCCAGTCTCGACTCCCAGCTCGGAGAAAGCTGTCGATACGTCAGAAAATCTAAAGGATTTGACAATAACGAGACGCCCGTATTATATGATTTCAGAGCCACGAGCGAGGATACTTGGTGCGTCGGAGGTGTTTGTGAAAACTGGTAGTTCGCTCACCTTGACCTGTGTCATATCACAGGGCCCGCACAATCTCGGTACCGTCGAGTGGTACCGTGGGAGCAGCGTCGTCACCACATCCAAGATATCCCCTAACGACGTTGACACCGAGCCACGAATTGTCGTCGACAGCGAGTGGAGCGATGCTCTTACCTCCAGGTAAGCCACTATACGTGTTCTTTGTTTTTTTTTTCCTTCGGTTTTTTATCGATCGCCTGCACGGTTGATTGATTTTCACGACAGAACGATTTACTATACGACTCTTGCGAGCTTTACGGGCTGTTCTATGGGGTTCCGATTGGCTTGAGCTATCCAGAGCTGTAGCCTGAGTGCATGTACTATAACGCGCTTCAAGTTTTATAGAGATTCATCGAAGACATGCGACTCGACCGTCTTTGCTGCGCCACTTTTATAGAAACTATCCTCTATCCTCCTTCCCAGTCTTCCGAATCCATGAGATCGTATTGAAATAACGCTTTTCAAATCAAATTTATTTCTGTTCGATGCTTTCTCTTTTTATCTTTGAGTGTACGCTCGGCTGGAAATTTCATTCCGCTCCATGACAAACAGAAACTCATGGGAGAGGGATAAAAAAATATATTAAAGTCCCATCAAACTTTGACACATTGACTTTTTTTTACAATTTTCAGATTAAAAATCAACCGAATAAGGTCGACTGACACTGGAAATTACAGTTGCGTCCCGACAGCCGCAGAAAGAGCGAGCGTCAACGTGCACGTGATCAACGGTGAGCCATTTCCTTCTTTTCATAACTCTGTCTAGCCAAGGAAATCTTTTTCCTCCCTCAAGTTAAGAAAAAAAAGGAAAAAGACTATATGCTTACTCAATCTCAACTCTATCTCGCGCTCTCTGCTTCTTCTCCTTTCTGTCCTCTCTCCCACTCTTTCTCTCGTAATATCTCAAATTCAAATTACTTTCCGCGAGTAATCTTTGCATAAATTAAACCTTTTCAACGGCAGGTAAAATAACGCTTCCATAACGCGAGTTTGCTTGCGCGCGAATTCGTATTTCATTATGTAGCCGTTTAATTCTTACCGCCTCTGTTATTCGAAGAGACAAAAAAAGAGAAGAAACTTTTCACGACAGAATAATGCAAATCCAAAGCTTGAAATTGATTATTGTGCGTTCCCTCGCGAAATATTGTTGTGTACGTATCTGTCTATTGAAAAATTGGATCGAGGCATACATACAATCGCGACTTTGTTTACAATGGCGATTATTCAGGCTGAAGAGTGATTTGTGCGACAGGACGATCCGAGACGAAGGGATGGAAATTTATGCCGACAAACAAATGCTTAAATGCGCTCATGCATTTAACGGGGTTTTACGACGCGCCAACTGTATAAACTACAATGTAAACTGCACGGAAACTATAAAGTACGCCGAAAAGCTAAAAGTTCGCGGAGACTCACAGAAAGAGAGCGACATGGACTCCGTCTTCTCGGGTATGTTCACGCCGGAGCACGCTGCATCTGTCTCATTCACCATTTACATCGTGCGAATAAATGATACGAAACAGCGGCCCGGCAACGTAAATTGAACTACTGAATAGATTTCAAACTATGTAAAACACTACGTTTCACAACTTTCTTCGATAATCTCAAGTTTCTTCTAGAACTCGAAACGAATGGCAATTGACTTTTTCAATCTGCTAAAAGGCTAGTGTTACTTGAAAATTGATTATTGCAGAGCCTTAATCTTATCGTATAATTAATTAAAAATTTAAAGTTTCATCAATTATAAAATTAAATCCATATTACAATTCACGTGTGTAAGCTATCGACAGTCCGGTTAAATAAAGCAATCAGAAAGTCTTCGGTATTTCCAATTCCCGAATAAAGTTAAGACGCATACCTTAAAAAAGCAACTAGAACTTCAAAATTCGAAAAGTTTCGTACGTTCCAGTATATTAAAACAAGTGTCCCAATCACATCAAATTGCAAGTATTCGACTGACGCGAAATTCAAGTCGAAAAAAGAGAGAGGATTGCCCATCTTCACCGCGATTTTACTGGCTCTTTTTCTCCTCGATAGCTATACAACTAACGCAACCACGCGTGAACTCGTCCAACGAAATTTGGGGACTGACTCAATTACCCGAAAACAAGATTATCAAAACGTCCTATAGTGCCATCGATGACAATCGCTTAGCCAATCAATACGCCCATGAAAGCTGCCACCGCGTAGCCATTTTCTCTAATCGGTTTATCAAAAATATAGACGTTTGAAACAAAAAAAAATTTCCTGTTACCAGTTACTGCTCCATTCTTTGTAACTAGAATTCGTTCTATTTTTCCATTGACGTGTATTTATTTTTTTGTAGATTTTTCACAGTGATACCCTTATTCTTTTGTATAAATTCTGAGGTTTACAAACATTTCACATTAACTTAAGCTTAATTAAGTTATTTATTGCATTTTATACTTCACTTAACATTATTTATTTGGTTTTATCTCATTTGAACTTCAATTTATTACCTTGCCTCTTATTTTCCCCTCTCCAGTAATAAAGTATCAAGTAGCACGTATCTTACTTAGTCGATGTTAAGTAACTAAAAAAATAATCCACACGTGAAGATGATAACGAAAAAAATTATTATAATTAAAAAGCGGTGAAAAATCACGACAGGTTTTTTTTGGTTTCCTGCAGCTTATAAGAAATTTATACATTATTGTTGGACTTCAAACTGTAAAGAAAAAAAATGGAAATTAAAATCTTAACGCGCAGAAAATACTCAACGACTTTTGAACCTCGCGCCGTAAATATTTATCAAGCTTTGAAGAGTAAGTGAAAATGTTTTTTAATAAATTTCAAAGAAAAACAAATAATTAAAGGCACCAGCGAACAACGCAACATAAAGGGAAAAAGAAAAGAATAAGGTCAGTCGGCAAAAATTTCGAGGGCGCGCGTTTGATAAGGGCGAGTAGAATCGCACTTACTCGTTGCACATTGGGTGCTGATTGTGCTCTCGCATTTCTAAAAGATAAATTAAATGTTGCATAACTCGCGTGCGAGGGGAGGCTGGGGCACAAACACAAGTGAGAGAGGCAAATCTCATCGGGAGGCTGCGCACTTTCAGCAAATATTGGCGAAACGTGCGGCGCACGTCCCAATTGCAGCGAGCAAGCGAGAGAGAGAGAGAGAGAGAGAGAGAGAGAGGAGGCCGAGCGACTGCATACGCGCGTGAATAAACAATATGTTTGCACTCGACACGAGCGAGCGAGCGCATATGCGAGAAAAGAAACCCTGAAAAGAAAAAAAATGTAAATTCACCGAATGACTCGGTAATGAATAATCGCGCGATTGTGTGGGCTGCACACTTTTGTTTGTATACTCCAATAATGAATTCGTCTGTGCACGTACACGTATAAAGGGTGCAGTGTCGTTACTGTTTTCGATCGATTGGCTTCCTGATGCTGCACCTCGGTTTTTTTATGTGTGTGGATGTTTTTTTTTTTGTCCGATCCTCGTGGATTTCGATGGCTTTTCAAACGATTGATGTGCGGACAGATAACTTTATTGCCTTGATAAGCTCATTGTAAATAAAACATACCACGCCGCAACCTTTTGACTCGCGCGTGCATCGGTTTTGTGCATTTCGTCTGGAATTGTTCGCGGAAATAAATTTGTATGTCTGTAAATGCGAACCGACAGTTAGATAGAGGGGCTGATCCGATAAGTATTGAGCGATGAAAATTCGCAGTTATCAAAAGTGACTGATTTCATCGTGTTGCGATTTGCTTTGGATACTCTCTCTGCATTGAAAATGGTTTATCGGAGAATTGTATATGCTCGATCCGATTCCCAACACCACTTGATTTTTATTTTAATTAAATCGGATGTACGGATGTTGTGTTATTTGACGTAAAATGTTTTTAACGATCAATTTGAATGCGCCATCGATAAATAAAGATCGAACGACATGATGAATGTCGAAAACAATATACCTAACAGCCCCATCTGATTGTATATACGAAATTGCAGTTTCCGCGCTATAATAGTTATCGCCGGTGATAGTTTCTTCGTGCCATAACGTCAGAACTGTCGATTGCACATGCACATCTTTCGATGGAAATGAATCAATAATCAATGCCAGCAATCATGACGGTGACGGCGTAGTGCCGCGGAAGTGCGAAAGGGAAGAGCGATTAGCCCCGTTTTGCACGCAAAGGAGAAGTACACGTCTCGCGGCTTCTGTCGCAGCAAGGCCCATTGAGCACACTCGCTCGTCTCTCCAGCAGGAGGCGAGTCCCGCCGCAGCTTTCAATTACAGCAGCCGCCGTTCGGCGTTTCAATTATACTCGCGCTCGCGCGTAGACCAACTAAATTGACTCGTCTATACTTGCGAGGGGGGAGAGTGCCAGAGGTAGCCGGGGGAAGGGTTTGCCCATTATAATTCCGGCTGATCGCTGGACTTAAGCTGCTGCGATCGTTATTGCGCTTGTTCGTCTTAGCGACTTGAGCCGTGATTGAGCGACTGTCAATGCCTCTTGGCCATTGTTCTCTCATGCGACGAGGGAGCGCTCGACGAGGCACAGCCATCTCTCTCGCTGCAACTACTCCGGGTTACGTTGATTCTCGAGTGCCATTGCTGAGGGTCTAATTTGCTTCGAAAGTAGGACGCCACTTTTTTCCCTTTTTTTCATCGTATACGCACGTCAGTTCACGTCATTCGACAATTTCATCTTCCAAGTTACACACACTGTTTATTAAATTATATTGACATTATTATTATCATTGTGCAGCTTTAATTTGTCATGCGATGTTTTTCACGCCTCAGTTTTCCAAATTAAAAAGTTGATAGGTCAAAGAGTGCTTACTCGTCAAAGCAAGCTCGAATTCTTGGAATTCGATACACGATCCGTTTGTACACTGGAAACGACGACGACTTTGCTGCACAGCGAAATCTCGTTAGCGAGTAGCTCTTTCACGCAAGTAAACTTAGAGCCAGGCCGCACACACACCCGTCGGGCAAAAGGGGGCGCGAGAAGGCATCTCCTCAAAAGATGCAAATTCTAGGATATTGAACACAAGAAGACACGATAGCGCTTCGTCGTTGAACCTAACACCAAGCGTCTTTCGGCATAGTTTCGCTCGCGCGCAAGAGCTGAAGCTATACACACGCCAGCAAGAGAGAGCTTCTTGCACTTGCCGGCGTCTCGCCGCAAGACGGCACGGAACTGTGTCAATGACTGGAAAAGAAGAAAAAAACGTAAGCCCTTCAGCCTCGCAAGACACGTTATGTTCCTTCGGCTGTTCTTGCGGGTTTAATGAACTTTACTTGACGCACGCCGCACATGCAAGAAACTACCGCTCTGTTTTGCTCTTATTTAGTTTGCCTACATGTATAGCATATTTGTGTGTATATTTTGCTGCCGATAGAATCACCTTGTTGATTAAAGTTTTGACATCGAATAGTTTTGATCTTTGTAGATTTTTTTCCGAGTTCTCTTTATCAATGAAGAATTCAGTTTCACGGGAATAAAATTCTCGACGAGTTATCGTAAAAATTCGAATTACGGTGCTTCTAAATCAGTTTTATTTAAAATTGCCTGTCGTTCTAAAATACTTTCATAATTTTTCTATTTGACAGTGACGCATCAATTTAAGCTAAACACCGAATAAACCCAATCAACCTCCTTTTATTCGGAAAGCAATGTTATTTTCGAAAATAATTTTCTATAAATCAATGTTCAAGTGAATGCAAAAATTAGAGAAACGCAAAAAT